AAAAAAAAAAAAAAAAAAAAACGCAGCAGGCACCCATAAACTAAAATATCTCTTAGTACTTCAAACTAGCTAGGTTTCAAGTAAACTCATAACCTCCCTGCGCCATTCCCACAATCTTCCTCCAGCATCATCTACCTTAGTAAAGGGTGCAACCATCCAGTCTCGACACCATCTCGTACCAGCCCCTTAATCCCCATCAGTAACCACATCCATTGATTTCCCCTCTAAACCGTTCTCCACACAACAGCCAAAGTGATCTTTTTAAAACACAAATCCATACCAGAGTCTTGCATTCTACTGCTTAAAATCCTCCCATGGCTGCCTATTTCTCCTGGATTAAAACAAACATCTTTATCAAAGTCTTCAAGGCCCCTGACCACTTTTTCTGCTACATCCCTTACTACTCACTTTCTATACTCCAGCTATTCTAGTCTTCTTTTAGTTCCCCAACACTCTACACTCCTTGCTGCTCCAGAGCCTCAGAAGCATGCTGCCCAAGTGGAAAAAACCCTCCATCCAGACAACACATTCTTTTCTTCCAGGATGCCACATTCTCTTTTTTTCCCCCTTTCCCCAATTCTGCTTTCCAGTCTACCTTGCTGGCACCACCTCCTCTGCTTGACCTCTTTCTCACTGTGCCTAAACTCCATATGAGGCTACCTCCTCTTTCCTACATACAGATGTTCCTTAAGGCCTGTGACTTTAGATAGCATCTATATGCTGATTACTCCCTGCTATGGACTGCCTTGTGTCCTTCCAAAAAGTCCTATGTTGAAGCCTTAACTCTTGATGTAACTGTATTTGGACAGGGTCTTTGAAGAGGTAATTAAGGTTAAGTGAGGTCATAAGTGCAGGGTCTTAATCCAACAGGATTGGTATCCTTATAAGAGAAGGAAGGGACACCAGGGATGCATATGAACAGAGAAAAGGCCATATGAGGACAGAGCAAGAAGGCAGCCATCAGAGGGCTCAAGAGAACCACCTGCTGACACCTTGATCTCAGCCTTTCAGTCTTCAGAACAGTAAGAAAAAAAATTTCTGCTGTTTAAGCCACCAAGTAATGTAATAACCTCTCATACAATCTCACTGCTTCTACTCTGCTACTCCTAAAATCCATTATCCTCAAAGCAGCCAGAATCATGGTATTAAAATATAAATACAAACTATATTATGCCATTTCCTGCTTTACACTCTTTCACAACTTCCCATATTTAGGTTTAAATCTTAACTCTTCACCAGAGGCCCCCATGTACCCTTTCGAGAACATGTTACATCACTCCTGCCCTTATTCCAGACACAGATGCCTCCATTTGGTTCCTTGAACAGCCCAAGTTCCTTCTTATCTAAGGGTCTTGAACTAACTTTTCTCAATGCCACAATATTCTGCTTTCAGTTCTTAATGTAGCTGACACTTTCTTGTCATTCAAATCTCAGCTTAAAGGACAACTCCTCTGAAAGCATCTTTCATCATCCAATTTAAAGTAGCCATCTGGGAGACTTACGCTTTGGACATGATAGTGTAACGGGAACCAGACTTATTCCCCTACATGAAACAACTATAAAAACAGACACAATATATGGATCAATCATGTTTTCAACACACTGAACATCAAGGAATAAAGAAAAGTGGTCTCTGAGTATCAGAAAACAAGCAAGGTAAACCCTAGAACGGCTCCAGCTTCATACCCAGCACAGTCCCTCATTTGAGAAGATGAAGCTAAGAGTCTAGGAAAACCAAGACAGCTAGAATTCCCAGAACAGAGTACCACAGCAGACAGAGCTGCAGAGAGAAAGCTCTGGAGATCTGCAAGTTGTCTCTTTTAAGTACTTAGCTTAGGAATGGACAATATGTGTGTGTTTGTGTGTGTGTGTGTGTGCTCACACACGTGCGTGTATGTAAAGAAACTACATGATTAGTCAAGTTTTCACACTGCCAGAGGCTGCGTAATTTATACAGGAAAGAGGTTTAATTGACTCACAGTTCCACATGGCTTAGGAGGCCTCAGGAAACTTACTATCACGGCAGAGGGCAAAGCAAGCTTGGACCTTCTCACAAGGTAGCAGGAGAGAAAAGAGTGAGGAGCAACGTGGGAAGAGCCCCTTATAAAACCATAAGAACTCACTATCATGAGAACAGCATGGGAGAAACTGCCCATGAACCAATCACTTCCTGCCAGATCTCTTCCTGGACACATGGGGATTACAATTCAAGATGAAATTTGGGTGAGAACACAATGCCTAACTGTATCACTACATGAGATTAAGGAAAGAACCACAGAAAATGATCATAGAGAACAGTACTGGGAACCCACACAGGACTGAAAACATCATGTTCCCCACCAACTGGACTAGAAAAACTCATAATTGATGTCATGGGGTACTGCACAGAATACAAAGTAAGATCTTGCCCCAGTAGTGGGAAATAATTAGCCCCAGTTAGAGCACTGCTCCAATCCTGCAAGAAAATAAATAATCTTATAATGCTTGAAAATATTAAGATGTTTCCCAGGAATTTAAATTAATCTCAGAATAAATTTCAAAAATATTTAAAAGAACACAAAAATAGCACCCAATAAAGTAAAGTTTACAATATCTAAAATTCAATAATAAATTACCAGCTATCTAAAGATGCAGGAAAATAGTAACCATAATGAGGTGATTTTAAAAAAGAACATAAATGTAAGAACTAGCAGACAAAAACATTAACGCAGTTACCATAAACATAACCTATGTGTTCAAAAAGTTAAATCAAGACAAAGAAGATTTCCCTTTTTAAAAGAAGAACTAAATCATACTTCCAGAGATGAAAACTGAAATGAATGTATAAGCTGAAAGATACCTGGATGAGATTAAGGGAAGATTAGATCTTGTAGAAGAAAAGATTAATAAAGACAGAGGAACAGAAACTATCTAAAATGAAAGAGAGAGAAAAAGAAATTAAATGAATGAAACATAAGTGAGCCTTATAGAAGTATAACTAGAATTCCTGAAAAGGGAATGGGTGAAAGAAAAATATTTGTAGAAATAATGGCAAAAATTTTTCCAAATTTGACAGAAATTATAAACCAAAATAGCTCAACCACCACAAGCATTAGAAATATGAAGACCACCAAAGCACATCATAATCAAATGGCTTGAAATATGCAATCAAGAGAAAATCTTAAGAGCAGCCAGGGAAAATAAAAAGACACAGAGGAACAAAAATAAGGACCAGAGGAGACATTTCGTAGGAAACAATGTAAATGAGAAGAAAGTGTAGTAACGTCTTTAAATTACTGAAATTAAAAAACAGAGTAGAATCAAATTCCATACCCACATCTCACACAAGTCAACTCAGGTTTCACCTGAGGAAATGAGACAAAGAAGAGCAAACAAAATCTAAAATAAGCAGAAAAAAGGAGGAATAAATACTGAAGCAGAAATCAGCAAAACAGAAAATAAGTGAAAACAAAAATCTGTTTTTTTAGAATAAACCTCTAACTAGATTGATTAGGGGAAAAAAGAGAAGACACAATGACCAATATCAAGAATACGAGAGCCAGAAATCACTACAGTCTACAGACACTAAAAAGATAATAAGGGAATATAATTGTCTTAGTCCATTTTGTGTTGTTATGACAGAATACCACTGCACGAATACCACTGGGATAATTTAGAAAAAAAAATTATTTTTCACAGTTCTGGAGGCTAAGAAGTCCAATATCAAGGTGCCAACATCACATGAGGGTGTTCTTGCTGCATCAACCCATGGCAAAAGGCAAGAGTGACACAGGATA